GACTGTTTCAGCACTTTTCCGGGTAAGGGCAGAATTCATTATGTCTTTGAAGATGGAAAGCAATTTTATTCTGAATCTGAAAGATCTGTTTCAGTTTTGGCCATAGTTTTTGTCATCCTTGAAAATCCTTCCCTTGCCATCCTTGGAAATTACAGAATTACCCCGTTAGAACACTGCAAACACTCTTCCTCAATGCATGCATGGTCTTCCTTTTATTTCAGGAGACAGAATGATATTGTTAGCCTCCTGGAACTCCCTTGGGAGTTGTCTTAGACTTTTTTTTCAACTGACTATTGATATTGCCCCCTTACATTTTGACTGATTTCTTCCACCTGCCTTAGTTTTGTTATTACCTTCTCTGAATATCCTATAAAAATCTCCAAAGGGTGAAGTTCACATACTTAGACTGGGAGTGAATAATAAATCAGATCACCTTCCTTAAAATCTTCTCTGGAGACTTCAGAGATATCTCTCATACCTGTTTTACATATCTGTGAATATTTTTAGTATCGACACACTGTAGAATTTGCAAATAGACCAAACATCAAAATCAAAAAAATTGCCTTGAGATTGTAAGATTGTAAGGCAACATTTTAATTTCAATGGGAATAGTAAGTGAATGTTAAATTACGTCAAATTAATGAATTTTGAGGTCAGTTTTCAGTTATGTTTTCAAGGATTCCATTTGGCTGAGGTAGGGTATTTAGGGAGACTGAATTACTTCTAAAAAAGTTAATTTATATGGGCTGTACAAATATTTCATTCATTCAAAAAGAACTTATTTAGCTGCCAAATCAGACACTAGTCACACTTAACCAAGAATAGATGTCATCCACTTAAAATGTCCAACTAAATACCACACGAAATACTGACTGGAAGGAAGGCTGTGAGATGGCAGCTCTGTATAAGGAGATCAAGGAAAAGTAATACTAACCATTATTTTACAAAAGAATTTGAAACCAAAAAATCTGGGAGCCTTCAGTTTCCAAGTTCCCCTTTGGGAGTTCTGCAAGATGTTTTAGAGAAGACAGGTTTGCACACTGAAATACTCAGTTTGATACACCCACTATTAAGCCTCCAGTGCTTATGCTTAATAATATAAACTTTATTTCATGATCTCATAGGAGAATTTAAACAAACTGATGGCTAACCTGAGAAGCACTCACCCACATTTTGTGCGATGCATCATCCCAAATGAAACAAAAACACCTGGTAAGGGGTTCCAATAGGAGGAAAACTTGAGCAGCAAAAGCTCTTCTCCTAAGTACTAAACAGTGGGGTGGTCACTAATGATGGTGTTTGTTAGGTGCCATGGAGCATGAGTTGGTGCTGCATCAGCTGCGATGCAATGGTGTACTGGAAGGAATCAGAATTTGCAGGAAAGGATTCCCCAGCAGAGTCCTGTATGCTGACTTCAAACAAAGGTAAGAACACCATACCTTTCTGCCCATTCAGACCAAGCTGAGAGCCCAAGTATCATAATATATTATAATTTAAATTGGTCCTGAGCGGTAATACAGAAATGTTTCAACATCAGTTCATGACAATATGACATTGCTGAGGTCAGGATTCTCTTGCACTTAACAGTAAAAACTCTCTCCATATCCTGCTCTGAAAGGACAAACTATCTCCAAGCATGAGACTGGTTCAATGAGGCAGTCTGAGGAGGCTGTGGGGTTCAATCACAATGGTGGTTTCAGTGATGGGCATTTCTTCATGTTCTGTTTTCTTCTGCAGATACAGAGTGCTTAATGCAAGTGCTATCCCAGAGGGACAGTTCATGGACAGCAAGAAGGCTTCAGAAAAGCTCCTTGGGTCCATTGATGTGGACCACACTCAGTACAGATTTGGTCACACCAAGGTAGAAAAAAGACTTGTGTTAAAAGTTTGTTGGGGAGCAGTAAGGGCAGGCTGCTCTGTCAGGGGCAGGGAGCACAGCACAATAACAGAGCTAGCAGGGTGGGGCCTCAATCAGCAAGTGCCCAGCCCCACTGTACTAAGGTAGGCAAGTGGGAAAGACCCTGGAATGGTAGTCAGGTTCAACCAATAGACCAGATCATCAGACAGGTTTGTGACAATAAGGAACATCTGAGATGAAGCCATAATGCCTTGGCTTTCTAGATTGATCATGGTCAGATATAGGTAGACTAAAAAGGCCCAAGTACTATTCATTAATTCCTGAACAGGTCCACAGCAATGAGATTGGTCTAACATCAAGCCAGGGCGTAAGTTCACAGGTCATGTTAGAGCTCACTGGCATCCATGACAAGGCATAGGTGTGACTGAGGCTGTGGCTAAAGTGGAAATCAGAACTCATACCGCATATCTCAGACAGGGACTGGATATTTAGGGCTGAGCTTATAGGAAGCTTGGGCAGAGAGTTTGCGAGGGGGCCCAAGGTAAGGCTGGTCATGGTTATTATGGTCTGTAAGGATCCTGAAAGACTCTGTGCCTCTATTCTGTGCTACGTGACAATGACATCCTGCAACTTTTCCTTTCTCAAGGTGTTCTTCAAAGCTGGACTGCTGGGACTCCTGGAGGAGATGAGAGACGACAAGCTGGCAGAAATCATCACTCGCACACAAGCCAGGTGCAGGGGCTTCCTGATGAGAGTGGAGTATAGGAGAATGGTGGAGAGGAGGTAGACATTTCTCATATTTAGTTTGTTATCGTGGTACTTGACTAATGAAGTTTAAATTCATCACACTGAAACTATGCAATAGTCACGTGAATTTCATTTCAGGGAGTCCATCTTCTGCATCCAGTACAATGTTCGTGCATTCATGAATGTCAAGCACTGGCCCTGGATGAAGCTGTTCTTCAAGATCAAGCCCTTACTGAAGAGTGCAGAATCTGAGAAGGAGATGGCCAACATGAAGGAAGAGTTTGAGAAAACTAAGGAGGAGCTTGCAAAGTCTGAGGCAAAGAGGAAAGAGCTGGAGGAGAAAATGGTGGCCCTGCTGCAGGAGAAAAATGACCTGCAGCTCCAAGTACAGGCAGTGAGTACCACCATTCATTTGTCCCTGTAAAAAGAATGTTACAAAGTCAGAATGCTTTTTACCCTAAGTCGAGACTCACAGGAAGCTGACTAATATGCATTAGAAAACAACCTAAATCACACACAGTAAGAAACTCTCACATTGAGTAAACAGGCACTGGCAGGGTGATGGCAAGTCTCATGGCAGGCCCACATCAGATCCTGCTGTCTGAGGAAATAGCCATGTAACACTAGCCAACGAGCAATTCACAGCAGAGAGCTCAGAGCTGGAAGCGAAGTATCTCTATCTACTCAACTTTTGAAACAGGCATCTGTCTAACGGAGTAAAGGAACTTACTTTTCCTACTTACAGCTACACTAGAAAGCCTTGATTACTTTCAGAAACACAGATACTTCCTATTCAAACCTAACTGGGAAAAGGCAGTTTCTTCACACCAAATGAAGTGAGCAACTAGTTAGCACTGGAAGTGCTAGGTGTGACCTGGCACAGAGGTAGCTGATAGCAAAGGCAAGAACTCTGATCGGTCTTGCAGCAATTTCAATGCATGTAGAAACGTGAGAAATTCCTTTCTCAACTAAAGTATTCTCAAAAATGGAAAAGCCCTACCTTCCCAAGTATTATAAGGTTCTCAACGATAAATTAAAAGGGAAAAGTTGCTTTTTCAGTCAGGAAAAAAGACTCCAAGCCCTTGCTCTCACTGAAACTAGTAATTGTAGTGATCACTGTTCTGTCATGCTTGTGGGTGCATGATGTATTCATAGCTACCCTCTCTGTGAGGCATTTCTGAGATACAACAATTTGGAACCAATGTTGATTCCAAATGACAATGTTTCCCATTAGACACCAGACAAGATCTTCCAGTTGTTGAAGTGCAAAACCAGGTTCAGCGCCCATTTTAACACGTCTAGTCAGTGACACAAAAGACAGAGTGAAGAAACTTCAAAACATTACAACCCACAAAAATCTGTGTCTCCCCACCAGGAAGCAGATAGCTTGGCTGACGCTGAGGAAAGATGTGATCAGCTTATCAAAACCAAAATCCACCTGGAAGCCAAAATTAAGGAGGTGACTGAAAGGGCTGAGGATGAAGAAGAAATTAATGCTGAGCTGACAGCCAAGAAGAGGAAACTGGAGGATGAATGTTCCGAGCTAAAGAAAGATATTGATGACCTTGAGTTAACGTTGGCCAAAGTAGAAAAGGAAAAGCATGCCACTGAAAACAAGGTACACACATGGAGTACGACATAAGGGGTCAGAAAAACATTGCTTCTTGGAACAAATGAGCATGACTTGTTGGCTATGGCATGTTTGGCTGGGCCACATCTGAGCAGAAAAAGGGAAAATGCAACTCTTGGCTAAAGAACTGCAAAGTGAAAATTTCACTGAACCAACTGGCATCTTTTCCACACATTTTTGACAATTGCTCATGTTTGTAGGTGAAAAACCTTACAGAAGAGATGGCAACTCTGGATGAGACCATTGCCAAGCTGACAAAAGAAAAGAAAGCCCTCCAGGAGGCCCATCAGCAGACCCTAGATGACCTGCAGGCGGAAGAAGACAAAGTCAATACACTGACCAAAGCTAA